GTACCTTTCAGTAAATAATCTTTCATATAAACATTTAACTTAGTTCATTAAGTTCTGATGAAGAGCTTGTTCTGATTCAGAGTCCATCGTTGATTCATAGTTTCTCAATTCATATTTTAGACGTCATTTTTTAAATTTAGTATCGGTTTTTAAAAGTAACTTCAAAACAGTTGCATATATATATTCAAATTCATTATGCGTGTATATATTGTATATATTCAAATGATTTATTGTGGATAAAATCTGCAAAAAAAAGCAAACTAAGCGACGTAATTCGGATGAAATTCCCTACATCATATTCGTCATTTGAATGAATGACGAGTGTGACGTGGAAAAAAAAGCATATTATATCCGATGACGTCTAAAATGTGAATTGTTATAAAACGCAAAAAATTACGCGACTTATTTATGTATGTGATAAATATTTTTAAGCCAGTATGAAAAAAAGAATTGAAAGTCATCAAGTTTGAGAATTTTTCTTTTTATATCATATTCGGATTATAAAATTGCAAACAATTATAAGTTTAAAATATGTAAATTAATAAATAAATAAAGATATATGAGGAGAAGTAAGACATTCAGAAAATGACGACGCACTGAGAATCATTTTCATTATTGTATAATTTAAAAACATTAGTTAGAAGTCAAAGTAGATAAAAAATACTTCATTACGCATCAAAAATAAACAAAGTGAATTAATTGAATGATCTGTGAAAAGACTGTAATCAATTCGTGAAATAATTTCAAAAATATACTTGAAATCAGTCTTATATTTGAAAAATAAACTTGAATATCACACCTAATACACAAATAAATGTCTGGTCGATATGAAAAACTAGAAAACTGAGCAGGAAAATGAGCACTTCAAATATCTCATTCATGCTGTGCCATCACTGTATGTACAGTTATTACAGACTATAGTACTCGCAATCACTTATCTCCCTATAATAACTATCATTCATTTTCATTACTGTGCGCAAGCAAAAAATTAATAACAAAAATTTGAAAACATTCAACTTTTCACAGTATTAATAGCATTAAGAATCTGATCACATAAGTAAAGAAAGTGAGAAAATGGATGATTTAAATGGTTTCAGAATCTCTAAAGAATTGCAGAATCGTTGGATGAAAGTAAAGAAAGAGAGAAAATGGATGATTTAAATGGTTTCAGAATCTCTAAAGAATTGCAGAATCATATATTGTTGAATGAAAAATTCAACTATCATTAAGTGAAATAAAATTAGGTAGAATGATTCAAAATGAATGAATATGAATCAGTTATTAATACTTTTTCTGACTACAAAACAGCGAACTAAACTATTTGCGTACTTAGTATGCGTATAAAAGCAAAAGAAAGAAGCAAGCATATCACATATTAAACTTTTCTTGAAATGAAAATTATTTCTCCAAATTATAGCAATGAATAACAGATGAAATAAAGCTGTGATAGTTTCACCATAATGGAGAGAGAGGTTGGATATTCAATGAATGCATTCAAATATTGAAGAAGAAATTGTCTTTTGGATTCTGAGAAGGACGAAGATATTGAGAAAATTGGATTCAAGTTGTCAAGTAAAGAAACCTGACAACACGCTATATTACGTGACATGCTAATATAACACAAATGCATTTTTTTTAATAGTAATATTTTATGATTTTAGAAACAATATTGATAGAGACGCAAAAATTTGCATCATGCTCTCAGCTGCCTGTAAATAGTATGAATTTTTCCCGCCGTTAAATTGATGACAAAATGGCGGGGAAAATTTGAGTGTGCTTTAAACGTTAAGAAATCATGGGTGTGCGTTCTTTTTCCAATTTGTCCTATATATCTGTAAATTTGCATTTTGGTTCTTGAAGTTAGTGCTATATTATATGATTGAGCCCAAGTGATCACTGTTCTGAAACTAAGTGATCAAATTAAAATTAATAAAAATGAATACCTTTATCAAAAGTAAAATTTATGTTTTAATTTTTATGGAAATTTGGCACTGCTATAAATGGTTAGCTAAATTCTAAGAGATACATTCAACTATCATCTTTATTTGTAAGCTGATGAATACAAAAAGTAATAAATTAAATTAAATTTCTAAAGTTTGATACGATTGTCAATTTTGTCAGCAAATCGATAAAAAATGACAGTAAGAAATTTTAAAATTCAAATTTTTGCTTTGAATAATTTGATTAGCACTTGAACTTTCCAAAAGGTATGACAAAAGAATTCTATAAATTTTGTAGACTGGATTTTGCAGGCCGCGTTTTTTATCATTTAATTTTTGTCACCTGTAGATGGCACAAAATTTACATATCGAACGTATGCTATCGTTGCTGTACTGTATTATTGTAGGTGTGAAAATATGGTTTCAGGATTTAATTGACATTCTACTTTTTTTGTTTTCTCGTGTTGTTACATAACCGTTTTCAAATCATACAAGAGCTAATTTTTAAACTTCCGTGTTTTTTTCTTCATATTATTTGTTTTTGAACTTGTTTCTCAACGTATATATCAGTCAAGCTCTCAAGATTCTTTATTTCGCCATTTATGCGTCATTTTCCAACTGCCATATGACGTAGTCGAAAAGTAAATCTGTGATAGGTTTAATGTATTGTGTATGGTAATATTTTGTTTCTTAAATTGCATTTTTATAGCAGTTTTGCCTCGTTTTGAATTATTTATGTTAGTTAACTGTTCGAAACACGTTTAATTCTAGTTCTAAAAGTTGAGCTGACTTTTTAATTCCGTTAGTTTCATTTCTTTTGTATAACAGTCCGAATAATGAAATACTGTCTACGATGGCATATGATTTAGCGTGTTATGCCATAAATTTACGTGAAGCTTGCATATGTCTATTTAGAATAGGTTTAGTTTGTTTCAATTTCAGGCAGCCCTTCAATATCGCATTTGTTTGATTTTTCTATACCTAGAAAATGTAAGTATGTATTCCACGTAAAATTACGACCCTATCCATTTTAAAAGACCTTAGTGTTTACTATATTTATATGGCATGATAAAGTCGAGTCGAAGTAGTGTAATACCCCTCTGTTTGCATAAATTATACATTGTGTAGTTCAAAAAATATTGATGCTAACCACCTTACTTTATCTTCTTTTGGAAAAAACAGTATTT